ACTTGTTTGATGATCAGATACAAATGTCTATCATTTTAATGTTAAAAAACCATATTCCTGACATGGTTATATTCCAGCTATATTACTATAAACAAAACTATATTTCTTAAATTTAATAACTAACGGGGACTGTGCCATGCATGGCTTGTTTTTTCATTTTTGTCTGATTTACATTATTGAGTAACATATATATATATGATTGAAATTTCTACATGGCCAATAGACCATTTGTCATTCACTGTGAGATCCTGTGTGAAATTGAACGTAAAAACAGGTCAAACAAAGGTCATAGCATCATAGTGGCAACAAACACCACATGGGATTTGACAAACTCGAAAGTATTTGGGAGATATTTCCATGCTTAATAATGTGCTGTACATATTTGATGATGGTCAATTTTGATGAAGTAAGGATATCTAAATGCAATATTCCCCTGTCAAAGACCAGCCTTTCGATGTGAGCTTGAAATAAAAAATTCAATTTCAAAGTCAAGAAATTTAAGTTCAAAGTCAAATTGTTCGATTTTTGCGGCTGATTATGGCGCGCATATTTCACGCAACTCACAAGATCTCCCAGTTGAATGGAAAATCATCTATTAGATTACCTTTAAAGCGGAGGAGTCGTCACCTGCGCATGCGTCAGATGGCCATAGTGTGTCATTGTTTACAAACAAGCGTCTACCATGAGCCTTTGTGTTTTTAGAGTGTGTTGTTATCGTCGCTTGGGACTCAATTCCTTTGTGTGCGCAGGTGATGACACTCTCGCTTTAAATATCAAGTGTACATTGCAATGCTTGGTTTATATATGTTTATGCACTTGTAATAGAACAAATACAGCATTATACTGATCATAGTGCTGTATTTGGATCTAGTAAAATTACGTTGATGCATGAAGTCACACCTGTCTATGTACAGTATATCACTTTGTATTATTGTTATCATGATACCTGTGTTGCCGTACATACTATAGTGCTTCCATAGATGTATAATTCATACAATGTCTTATTCATAACAGTTTGCAAAGTATACTTTTGATTTTAAAAGTAGCCCTTACAATATCATTGTAAAAGTGGAATATTTCGCCATTCAGCAATCTAAAAGTGTTTGTTATACTTGCTCAGTAGATTTTTCCAATGAAAGCTCAGGGGTAGCAAGCACATTTTTTCACATGTACATTCTACAAAAACTTCTCTTGATCTGAATATATGCCCTTGACTTCACAGCTATGCATTCTGTATTTTTCACATGCACAGCATCTCAGAATATGTAGATTATACATGTGTGTTTGTATGTCTTACAATGCCATCAACAACATTAGGTTCTGAAATATGAATCTGTATGTTATTTTTTAAGCATGGAATTATAAATGGCATACCTTACAAAATTTTCAGTGAGGTATGTCTTGTATGTTTTTTATTTATCTACTAAGTACCCACCATTTCAGAATAATAATTTAACACCTTTGTATAGTCAAGCATTATGACTACTCGTAGTTTGTTTTTTTAATCATGCAAAATGTTTTTTGCTGAACCTTTTATTAAAATCAAAATACTCAATAGGGTCATACAAGTACCAGGGTGTGTGACCTTCAGGGAAAGACAAGTATTGTGGAGGGGGGTGACAATCTGGGTTAAGTACTATGTGTTACCTTCAGGGTCATACCATGATGTATGAAGTTTTAAAGGTCATGGCACATTAAATACGTTAAGGTACTTTTTACAGTTTTATTTTTGTAAATTTTTATTTTATTGTCAAGTGTTATTTGTTTCTACCTCATAGTGTTTAAGTTTAAAATTGTATCTTTACACAAAAATAGGAGCTATACTTTCTATTTCATATCTTAACTTTATCATTTGTTGAAAATTTGTATCGGCATTTTTAGTTTCCAAATAAGCAATGTTATCACTGTATTGCAAGGTAATGATGAAAAAAGATGCTAGTTTCTGGAGATACAAAATTGATGTATTCAGTATTTGTGATAAAAATACTGGAAAATGAAAGAATGTGTTGCAACTATCAACTTGCTTTTTAGCAGATTGCATGTATCAAATATGAAAAGAAAATTAAGTTTTTAATCATTTTGAGCTTGGTCTAATTGAATACTCAATAGCAAATAAACAAGATACATGTTCAATGTTTATTAAAATTGCTGTCAAATACATGATTACATGTATTAAAGGTTGATTTGGGGCGATATTTCTTCATTCTACCAAGGTGACAACTGTACGCAAAATTGAAAAAAAAAAATGTTGAGGCATAGTTTTCAAACTGATGCATGTATGAAGCAAAACTTTTTTTAGTAATAATTATTGCATATTTTTATTCTAACAAACGCACATATTGCAGTTGCCTAGTAACAGAACATTATTTTTAACTTGTTTATGTCGTCTATTGCATGCCAGTATTAATGTTTTGTTAACAGGTTTTTTTTTAATATACATTTTATGTATATTCAGTGTAGCTTGTTGCACTTGCTATTTTACTGTAAGTGAAACAGAAATGTTTAATTTTACCAAAGCTTTTATTTTTGGCAGATTTCCCCCGTTGTAAAACAATATCTGTAATTTACTGGTAGTCGAATGTGGTGCCCTCTGTATTGTTTACTTACACAACTCACCTATAGAGGGCGCACACACCTGAAATGTTGTAATTATGTATTCTCGAGAATAAATATGAAATAAAAAAGATTGACATCTTGAAAATGTGTTATTTTAGCGGTTTGTGGGAAATTTTAATATCCAAAAAATGAAATTTATCAATTGGATGGGTTGTATTCTTGGAGTTTCTTAGTAGGATTAGTCAATTTGATGTACTTGGACATCACATTCTGAAGCACTGCCTTCACTCGTGATTATATGCATTTGCATGAATGTACATAAACCAGATAGGCCTTGAAGACTTTAAATATATGGAGCAAAAACCAATACAGAATATTTAATATGATTACAGATTTATTCAGGTTTGATGGAATAAACAAATATATTAAATATATTCTCTTGATTATAAATAATTTTAATCACAAACATGAGCCATTGACATATTGCATGATATCAAAACTTCTGGTCTAACAAGCAAAAATTATCTCAGTACCAAACTTTCTGAAAGTCCTTTAGTCTTGACAAAACCAAAGTGTTTCAGTTGTGCAATGCAGTGGTACCAAATTCTATTAAAAGATAATCAATTTTCAAATAATGAATATTGCATATTTTTTTTATGTACAAACTCTATATACCAGTTACGCAAATTAGAGAAATGGTTTAAGCTAAAATTATCAAGAAACTTAAACTTAAAAAAGAACACTTGCATCAGTGGAAAAAGGTACACATCTCAACTTTTTAAAAAACAAAAAATTATTTGAATTTTTATTCTGAGCCCAAGTATATGTTTTCTAAACAAGAGTCTCAACAAATATATCCAGAAAAAACAACTTAGGCAGCTATTTAAATTGTAGATTCAGGATTTAGAAAGATTTATTAATAAAGAAGTGATTATATTGTAAATGTTAGCTATCACATATAAAACTACATAGTAGCAAGTATCACTAATTATAGGAAATGGAGTGATTTATATTTCTTGTATGTAAAGAGAAATGCATAATATTGATTTCATTGAAGTAAAAATGTATATTTATTAAGCCTTTGGAACGGCAACAAGCCAATAAAAGAAAAGAAAAATCATACATATATAAGACTGCATAAAAAATTAAATTTGAAAATATATCTTATGGTGAATTTATAAAATTTACAAAGATGTTTAAGAAATGTTCGTAACTCTTTAAAACAATCTCCCACAATTCATAATTCACATTCCATGGAATGTCACCAAAAATTAAACTTAAAATTCACCCCCCCCCCCCCGAGAGAAGACAATTTGTTAGTGTCTGGCATTCCTTAATATTCAAAACTATTTTGATCAAATCAGAGTAAAATTTATTACTACCGGTATGTTTAGTGTTAAGTTTATTTTTCAATTGCAAAAATGTATTTATTAGGTAACTGATGTTTACTGTCTGATGTACACTAATAATGACATATTTGTAAAGTGGAATAGGGACTGATGAATAAATGTAGACTCATGGCTGGCTTGATTACTTGGATCCAGTCTCGAGTTGATCTTTGACCCATTTCTTCAAAGCCTACAATTAAAGATAAAAGAAACAAAATTGACAGCTGTTATGTACATGTTAAATTCCTTTTTAATTCATTAATTACAGGCCTATGTAATATTAACTGTCAAATGATTGCTCTGTTCAATGACAAGCTTATATTCACATTGTAATATTTGTATGGATCTGATAAGGATAAGTTTACTCTAATCACACATCTATTAATGATTAACAAAATTCTGCTGAAAAAATGTGTTGCATTCTTGAACACTGTTCCCTGCATAGTGTTGGTCTTACAAGTTGTGCACTTTTCAACACTGAATATGCTTAAATTTTCATATTTGCACAAAAATAAAGGCCAGCATAGATACACTATCTTATAAGCAATTATTTATTTCATTTATTTATACAGTATTTATCAGATTGAAGATTCATATTACTCGCACTCGTACCATCATTTCCTGTCAATCAGCTTGAAGCCCATTTACAGACTCAGAAATGAGAGACAGTACAACTTAAGCATAAACATGTACATGTATTGAGAAGATTATGTCAGTTGTCTCATGGAAACTACTATTCTTTGCAACAAGAATAACTGGATATTTTACTTTCATGCTTTAACCTATACCTGTATTGCTTCAACGGTGGTCAAGCAGTACTGTTTGAGAAATTCATCATCAATGTCCTTTTCTGTTCCCAGTTTTTTACTTGCTTTCAATGCCTCAGTTCCATCAAAGTTAATGAAACATAGACGTACAGTGAACTCATTACCTGGACGTAAAAATGCAGGTCCTCCAGACATCAACTTAAATAAAATAAACAAATACTTTTAAGTGCAGTACTGGTCTGTGGCACACACACACAGTATTTCTTGCCATCTACTGCACAAAATGAAACCACTTGGTGCTGTTCTGACTGTTGCAGTTTGGTGTCCAATCCATAGTATTTGTACTACTTGGGTAATAAAGACTAAATCATACAAATTCAAGGCTACATCTTATATAGTACACAAGAATAATAAATAAAACAACAATGCCAGTGATCAGTTCATACTTACCGCTACATTAACCTCATCAAATATAGTGTCACACATTTGTGTACCAGTAGTGATACCTCTAGCGGCCAACACTGAACGCAGTATTTCAAAGTTTGGAAATATGTAATACCCGGCAGTAGGCATCACAGCAGTTATACCAACTGACGTCAACTCTCTACAAAGATATGAAAAACAGAATAGAATTATTGTAACATGATTTATTTTATGACACAGGCACAAGTATACATGTATGTCTCATGACAGATATTACGTATTTATTATAATAATAATTTCATATTATACGGGTTATGTTCAATATACTAAGATCAACATTACATAACAATGCAATTCTTTGAGGGCCGTTAATCACACATTC